AGCGAAGTCGCGCAGCCGCGAAACCGTATACCGAAGTCAGCCGAGCCATCTAGCACACTAGTCGTTTCATTGTTTGAGAATTGAATCAACGTTTTAATTTCGTAGTTATGCGACAAGTGAGCTCGTTGGCAGCTTACAAGCACGACTTGTTCTCGGCGGCAAATGCCAGCGCAAATATACGAAGCACCGACCTCTAGCAACTAGTAGTTTCATTGTTTGGGTTTGAATCAGCGTTTTTATGGGGCTCGTAGTATTGTGGAGACAATGATACCTCTGGGCAGCGTCAAAGCAACTTGTTCCTCGGGCGGATGCGAGTGCGCAGCCGCGAACGTAACAAGTCCCGAGCATCCTAAGCGTAGTCGTTTTCTTAGTTTGAGTTTGAATCGACGTTTATGTTCGTAGTTATTGCTGACCATGATACTCTTGGGCAGATACAAGCCACACTTGTTCCTCGGGCGAGCGAATGCGCAGCGCGAACGTTATACGAAGTCAGCATGCCCATCTAAGCACACTATTAGTTTGCATTGGTTTGGAGTTATGAATCAGACGTTTAATTTTCGTAGTATTGCTGACAATGAAAGCTCTTTGGGCAGCTTACAAGCACACTTTCCTCGGGGCGTGAGCGGAATCGGATACCGAACGTATACAAGACAAGCCGAGGCATCTAGCACTACTAATCCTTTCCACTTGGTTTGGGTTGAATCAACGTTTAAGTTCTAGTATTGATGACAATGAAAGCTCTTTGGCAGCTTACAGCACACTTGTTCGCGGGCGAGCGAAGTTGCGCAGCGCTAACGCATCCAAGACAAGCGAGCCATACTGCGACCACTATTGTTTTCATTGGTTATGGAGTTTGAATCAGACTTTTTAATGTTCGTGTCATTGCTGACAATGAAAGCTTCGTGGGAGCTTGACAAGCACCACTTGTGCCTCGCGAGCGGAAGTGCGGACCCGAACGTATACGAAGAAGCGCTAGCCATCTGCACACCTAGTCGTTTTCATGTTGAGTTTGAATCAGACGTTTTATGTTCTTATTATTGCTGACAATGAACATCTTGGGCAGCTTAAAAGACACTTGTTCCTCGGGCAGCAATGCGGACCCCAACGCTATTACGAAGACAGCCAGCCAGACTGCACACTAGTCAGTTTTCATTGTATTCGATTGGAACTCAGACGTTTTAATGTTCGTATATTGCTGACATCGAAAGCTCTTGCAAGCTTACAGACACACTGTGCCTCGGGCGAGGCGATGCGCAGCCCGACTATCGAAGTCAGCCGAGCATTAGCACATCTAGTCGTTTTCCATAGTTTGAGTTTGGAAGCAACGTTTTAATATTCGTAGTATGCTGACAATGAGCTTATGGCAGGCTTACAAGCACACTGTGTTTCGCTCGGCGAGCGAATGCGCAGCGCTAGACGTATACGAAGTCAGCGAAGCATCTAGGCACAGTGAGTCGTATTCATTAGTTGTTTGGAAGTTTGAATCGAGTTTTAATCGTTCGTAGTATTCTTGACGAGAATGCGAAGCTCTTGGACTAGCTTTACAAGCATCACTTGTTCTCAGGGCGACGTGAAGTGCGAGCCGCGAACGTATACGAAGGACAGCCGAGCCATCTAGCACACTAGTCGTTTTTCATTGTTTGGAGTTTGAATCAGACGTTTTTAATGTTCGTATGTATTGCTGCAATGATAGCTTCGGGCAGCTTACAAGCACAACTTGTTCCTCGGGCGAGGCGAAGTGCGCAGCCGCGGAACGTATACAAGTCGCCGAGCCATCTAGCACACTAGTCGTTTTATTGGGTTTGGAGTTTGATTCAGACTTTTAATGCTCGTAGTATTGCTGACAATGAACTCTTGGGCATCTTACAAGCACACTTTGCTCCGGGCGACGAAGTGCGCAGCCGCGTACGTTACGAAGCAGCCAGCCATGCTAGCACACTAGTCGTTTTCAGTTGTTTGGAGTTTGAATCAGATCGTTTTAATTTCTGTAGTATTGCTGACAATGATAGCTCTTGGGCAGCTTACAAGCACACTTGTTCCTCGGCCAGCGAAGTGCGCAGCCGCGAGTAGTACGAATCAGCCATGCATCTAGCACACTAGTCGTTTTGCATTAGTTGGATTTCAATCAGCGTTTTAATGTTCTAGTAATTCGATCAATGAATAGTCTTGGCAGCTTTACAAGCACACTTGGTTCTCAGGGGCGATCGCAACTGCGCAGCCGCGAACGTATACGAAGTCAGCCGACCATCAGCACACTAGTCGTTCTTCAGTGGTTGGAGTTTGAATCAGACGTTTTAATGTTCGTAGTATGCTGCACATGATAGCTCTTGGGCAGCTTACAAGCACACTTGTTCCTCGGCGAGCGAATGGCCAGCCCGAACGTATACGAAGTCAGCCGACCATCAGCACACTAGTCTTTTCATTAGTTTGGAGTTTGAATCAGAAGTTTAATGTTCGTAGTATTGCTGACATGATAGCTCTTGTACAAGCACACTTTTCTCGGGGTAGCGAAGTGCGCACCGCGAACCGTATTACGAAGTCGCCGAGCCATTCTAGCACACTAGTGTATTCATTGTTTGGAGTTTTTTTTAATCCCAGCGTTTTTAATGTTCGTAGCTATTGCTGCAAATCATAGCTCTTCAGCTTACAACACACTTGTTCCTGGGCGAGCAAGTGCGCAGCCGAACGTATACGAATTCACGGCCACATCTAGCACACTGATCGTTTTCATGGTGTGGGTTTGAGTAATCAGACGTTTTAATTCGTAGTATTGCTGACATATGATAGCTCATTTGGCCTTACAGCACACGTTGTCTCGGCGACGAACTGCGCAGCCACGAGTACGAAGTTCAGCCAGCCATCTAGCACATCTAGTCGTTTTTCATTATGTTGGATTTGAATCAACTTTAATGTTCGTAGTCATTGCGACAATAAAGCTCTTGGCAGCTTACAAGCACCACATTTTCCTCGTGGCAGCGAATGTGGCAACGCGAAACGTATACAAGATCACCGACGCATCTAGATCACACTTCGTGCTTCATGTTGTTGAGTTTGAATCATACGTTTTAATTTCGTAGTATTAGTGACAATGAACTCTTCAGCTTACAGCAACACTTGTTCCCGGCGAGCGAATGGCAGCGATACGCGAATATCACGAAGACACGGCATCTAGCACACTAGTGTTTTCATGGTTTGAGTTTGAAATCAGACGTTTTAAATGTGCGTATATTGCTGACAGATGAAAGCTCTTGTAGGCAGCTTACAACGACACTTGTTCCTCGGCAGCCGAAGTGCGCAGCCGCGTAACGCATCGAAGACAGCCGAGCCATCTGCCACTATTGTTTTCATTGGTTTGGAGGTTTGAATCAAACGTTTAATTTCGTAGTATTGCTGGACAATGAAATCTTTTGGGGGCAGGCTACAAGCACATTTTCCTCGGCGAGCGAAGTGCGAAGCCCAACGTCATCAAGACAGCACCATCTAGCCCACACTAGTGTTTTCATTCTGTTGATTTTGAATCAGACGTTTAAATGTTCGTAGATATTGCTGATCAAGAAGCTCTTGGGCAGCTTACAAGCACCACTTGTCCTCGGGCGGAATTCGAGCCGCAGACGATACGAAACACCGAGCATCGAGCACACTATCGTTTATTGGTTGAGTGATACAGACGTTTTATGTCTAGTATTGTACAATGATAGCTATTGGGCACCTTACAAGCACACTGTTCGGCGACGCGAAGTGCGAGCCGCGAACTTCTACGAAGAGACCGAGCATCTAGCACCACTAAGTCTTTCAATTGGTTTGGTTTGAATCAGGACGTTTATATTCGTAGTATTGCTGACAATGATAGCTCTTGCACGTTACAGCCACCCTTGGTGCTCGCGTAGCGAATGCGCCAGCCGCGAACGTTACCGAAGTCACCGAGCCATCTACGCACAGTCAGTCTTTCAATTGTTTGAGTTCTGAATCAGACTTTTGTTATTCTAGTGATTGCTGACAAATGAAGCTCTTGCGCAGCTTACAAGCACACTTGTATCCTCGGCGAGCGAATGCGCAGCGCGACGTATACGAAATCAGCCGAAGCACACTCAGCACACATAGTCTTTCTTAGTTTAGTTTATATTCAGATCGTTTTTAATTTCAGTATTGCTACAGATGATACCTTGGCAGCGTTACAAGCACCACTTTTCCTCGGGGCGAGCAAGTCGCACAGCCGAACGTATACGAAGTTCAGCCGAGTCCATCTTAGCACACATGTCGTTCATTGTTTGGAGTTGAATCAACGTTTTAATTTCTATATTGCTTGACAATAATAGCTTTCTTTCTTTGGGCAGCTTACAAAGCCACACTATGTTCCTCGGGCGAACGAACGTTGCGGCCCCGCGAACGTAATACGAGTCACCGAGCCATCTACACACTGTAGTTTTATCTGGTTTGAGTTTGAAAACTTTTAATGTTCGTGTATTATCTGACAAATGAACTCTGGCAGCTTACAGCACACTGTTCCTCGGCGAGGCGAAGTGCAGCCGCCGAACGTATACCGAATGAGCCCGAGCCATCTAGCACTATGTCGTTAGTTCATTGGTTTGGATTGAATCAGACGTTTTAATGTTCTAGTATTGCTGACAATGAACTCTGGCCAGCTTACCAATCACACTTTTCCTCGTCAGCGAAAGTGGCGCAGCCGCACGTATAACGAATCAGGCCATTACTAGCACCACTAGTCGTTTCATGTGTTTGGAGTGTCATGATCAGACCGATTTATAATTTCTTAGTATTCGTGACCATGATCTCTTGCAGCTTACAAGCACATTGTTCCGGCGAGCGAAGTTGCAGCCGCAGTATACGAAAGTCAGCCGAGCCATCTAGCACCACTAGTCTTTCATTAGTTTTGAGTTTGACAATCAGACGATTTTAATGTTCGTAGTGATTGCTGACAAGTGATAAGCTCTGCAGCTTACAAGCACACTTGTTCTCTCTGGCGAGCCGGAAAGTGCGAGAGCCGTCAAACGTATACGAAGACAGCCGACCATCTAGCACACTAGTCGTTTCATTGTTTGAGTTTTGAATCAGACTATTTTAATGTTCGTGTATGTTGACAATGATAGCTCTTGCAGCTTACAAGACAACATTTTCCCCTCGCACAATGCTGCGAGCCGCGAACGTATACGAAACACCACCATCTAGCACACTATCTTTCTCCATTATGTTTGAGTTTTGAATCAGACGTTTATGTTCGTAGTATCTATGACCAATGATAGCTCTGGCAGCTTACCAAGCCACACTTTTCCTCGGCGGCGCGAAGTGCCTGAGCCCCGCAACGTATACGAAGCAGCCATCCAATCTAACACACTAGTCGTTCATTGTTTGGAATTTATCAACGTTTTAAATTTCTAGTATGTGGGACAATGATACTTCTTGCAGCTACAAGCACACGTTTCCGTCGGCGACAAAGTGCCGCGAGCGCGACGATATACGTAGACAGGCCGAGCATCTTGAGCACATATCTTTTTCAATTAGGTTTGCGAGTTGAATCAACCTTTTGAATATCGTAGTAATTATGACAATGAAGCTCTTGGGCGCTACAAGCACACTTTGTTCCTCGGCACGAAGTGACGCCCGAACGATACAATCCAGCCGACCATCTAGCCACACTAGTCCGTTTTTCATGTTGGATTTGAATCCAGACTTTTTATTCTGTAGTATTTCTGACAATGTACTCCTTGCGAGCTTACAAAGCACACTTTTGCTCCGGCAGAGCGAATCGGAGCCGCGAACGTATACGAAAACACCGACCATCTAGCACACTAGTCGTTTTCATTGGTTTGGAGTTTGAATCAGACGTTTTAACGTTCGTAGTAATGCTGACAATGATAGCTCTTGGGCAGCTTACAAGCACACTTGTTCCTCGGACGAGCGAAATGCGGAGCCACGAACGAATACAAACTCAGCCGAGCCATCTAGCACACTAGTCGTTTTCATTGGTTTGGAGTTTCAATCAGACGTTTTAACGTTCGTAGTAAAGCTGACAATGATAGCTCTTGGGCAGCTTACAAGCACACTTGTGCCTGGGACGAGCGAAATGCGGAGCCACGAACGAATACAAAGTCAGCCGAGCCATCGGGGAGCTGGTGCGCTCCCGAGACACAAGTCATTGACGTTGATTTCGAGTTTGAATCAGAATTTTTTCCGCGGAATTGTGACGCTGCGCTACGCGTGTGCGAGTTGAGGACGAGGCTCGGGCCTTGTTGTTATCATAAAATATCTTTGAGACTGTCCAACGCAATTTATGAGAATACTCACCATAAAAATCATCTGCAAAGTAACAAAAATTAGTTTCTGACACGTATCGAATTAAAGCTCCGCGCCATGGAAGTCCGATTGGCTCGCTCGAAAACTCCGCTCGGCTCGTTCACATTCGTGGCTGCGCGCTTTGCTCTCCCGAGAGACAATCGTTGCGGAGGACGTTGAGTAGTCTTGTGTCGATCTGTGGTTCCCCTTGTTCGATGGATTTGATTCCGCAGTGAACCAATTACTTACAATGATCATTAATGATTAACAAAATAAAATACGGTAAGAAATAAGAAAGGTAAAGTGTGTGTCTTCAAGTTTAACGTTAACAATGTATTTACTTGTTAGTATTGTATAAACGGGATAGTAAAAGCGGGATTGTAAAAGCGTGTATGAAAAAATGATAATATGATTATATGAGAAATGTGTTTCAGTTCATAAGCAAAAATTGAATACTTGTCGAATTACTTCCAGTTCATTGAATTATTTCATTTTATTGTTGTCAACTATTAACGTTCAATGTGATCAATGTGTACTAAGAAATGATTGAGCGATGTAGGCTAATAATGATTCAAAACGATATGCGTGATGCTAACAATGTTGATTCTTGTTGTTTCGCCCCAGCGTTTTGTCACTTTGCAGCGTCCAGTAGTTTTAGAGGGCTGTGACTTTGTGATACAGCGCGTCCCGAGAAATTAGCCCGAGATTTAATAGTAAAGGTTGTACAAATGCTTCGGAATGGCGGTACGTCACTGGCTACCTGATCAATGACAGTCTTTGGAAGAAGATACGT